TTTTTCAACCAGTCCCATTCCAAATGTTAATTGTGACCTGTAAATTTTCCTTCTGTCTATAAGAAATGACTTTATAAAAATGGAAGCTACAATTACTCGTATAGGAAGAGAAACTTCTAGTAAAATTCTGCACACTAATTTGTCAACAAAAGTCATACAGATGTTGACAACAGGGAATATTCAGGCTAGAGAAAAGGCACAGATGTTTAGTACTCAGTGGGATTAACTGTTGGAACTGTTGCATCTGGACAGGGCAGACTCTTGATAAATTAAAGTATTTAAGTCAAGTCCTGATGCTTCTCAAAAAGGCCTTCTCATCTCTTAAATAGTGGTTACAGACTCAGTGCCCAGTTCATAGAGTCAAGTTCTCTGACACCTCTCCTGCCACAGCTCAGGCTCTTTCTAGAGTGGTACCTGGATTCCTCTACTTCTTCTATGTCCCCCACTGAGAGAAGGCTGCAAAAACCCCTCAGAGATAACAAGCTTAGTATGAGGGACAGAAGGTGAAGGTTGATGTGAAGAGGTGTGCTGCAGATGTATTGGATTTTGGCCAAGGGTTCACAGAATGGATGCCCAACCACATGATCACACAGGTTCCTCTGTGCGATGCTTGATAGCAGAGGTTTGACAAGGTTCATAAGTGTGTGACTTGCCTGCCTGCTGTAGTTTAGTCTTTTTGAGATGTCATTTTGAATTGTGATGGGAAATTGAAAAATAGGGGCCAGGCTTTCTGGTGGCCGTAATTGAGTAGAATGGCCTCTGTGAGGGGTTCAGTCATTCCCATGGATGGACTTCTACAAATTGTCCAGTGGTGCTGCTGACCTCTTACAGTAGATGCAAACCTACAGAGAGATGACCTTGCTCTTCTGGGTCAAGGATCCTATAGGAATGGTCTCTGAACCCTGAAAGGTGTGCTGTCCACAGGTGGAAGAGCAAGGCTGCATAGGGAGGACCATGTAGTGGCTCGAACACTAACCTTACATTTGGAAGTTAAGAGTCTGAGAAGTAAAACTTGCTGAATCTATTCTTGCAGGATACCCAAATCTCTGCCCTTCCAATAAAAGCCCTTTGTGACTCTGGTCTCCATGCAAATAATTGCTTTCTACAAATGAAGGCGCTTAACTGCTGTAAGTGACATTGGTGCACAGGTAAAACGGCTATGTAAGTAATGAATAGATGTTGCTAGAAGACAAGAACTCCAGTTCATAGGAAAGTGGCATTTCCCACTGATTTTGTACTTGAATCCAGCAGATTGATTTTTATTGTTGTACATGTGCATTTTCTTTGCGAAGAGGAAGTGTGAGAGAAAGCAGGAAGGCTCTCATAGGTGAACTATGAAAGAAGTAATTTCCCGTCATTTATCATTGACAGGTTGCTTGTCTATCCTTATGTCATGCCCAAATCGCAGTGATCCAGCCATTGAGCATTCATCTGAGAATCTGACTTTGTCAACTGTCATTAACTTGAAAACTTTTGGATTAAGACTCACCAGGCTTTCCTGTTAAGGTAATATTTCACTGAAAAATTGTTATGAGTCTCAGCCATCTATGTCCTGAGTAAGTGACTACCAAGCAGCTGAGCAGCAACAAAGATATGCACAAATCCATAAGAGCTACCATCATCTTTACTCTAGCTCCACAGATTTCCCTGGAGTTACCCAAATGATAAATCTGATTCCAAAGTGTTGTTGATGAGTGGGTGAGTTGATGAGCGGGTTGGCTCAGGGAAGTCTTCCAGATGTCCACAGGCCTTTATGCAAGAGGAAAATAGTACTTCTTTGGCCTTGGCTGCATTCTCACTTATACTGGTATGATTTGAGAGGAGTGTCACTGAATCAGGGTTATACCTGAGTTACATGGGCGCAAGCAAGAGAAGGATTGGGCGAACTGTGCCTAAAGCCCCAGTGGATTTGGGAGCCTTCTCCAGCAGCTTTAGGTAGCTTTTCTTTCTATCCTTAGCAACACAGTCCTGATTAACCCTCCAAGCTGTGGTCAGTCATTTTGAGGACAGTTTGATTGACAGCATGTAACCCGCTAATGCTTTTCCCTGCATTGTCCAGTGCATTAGATCCTGGAGGTGGTTGGTTGGCTGTGTTGGTTTTTTTTTTTTCTGTAAATTATTTTGTTGGTTTAATTTTAATCTCTCGGATATTCTATAAGAAAAAAGTCATCTTGAGCAAGAGGCATGAAGTATTTCAATGTAAGTACAAAAATATGAATTGAGACTCCTCTCTTATGGATCTATAACAAGATGCATTTGGGCAAGATGACCATTTTTGTTGCCTTGCCAGAAATATGGTAGAATCCTCTTCCCATTCTGAAAATATAAATGACAATAGAAAACTTTTCCCTGTGGGAACTGTTTATATTTCACGCAAGATATTTGTGGAAGGCTCTTTCTTCACGTTATGTACTGCTTCATAAGAGTAGATCTGACAGACCATCTAGGCTTGGGTGGGTAACCAACTCTATCACTCAAAACTTAAAAGACAATATTCCTTTACGTCGGTGATCCCTTAACAATCTTGTGAAATTATTTCCAAAGAAAATAGTATTGGGAAAATATATTACAACTTGTCCCTTATTTTAATTTTTTTGTACTTCTTTCAATATGAATAGCAGCTTGATAAAAAGTAGAATAAAACCTTGAGAAGCAGTTAGATTTCTGGGAGTGCAGCCAGCATATTGTGGACCACCATTGGTCCAGGGACTACAATTTGGATAATGGGTTTGTTTGGAAATTATGCTGCCAGTGTCTGAAAGCTCTAGTGTGGATCTCATGGAGAAAAAGTTAAAGCCACCTTTCTGAAAGCTGTTGAAAAATAGAGAAATTAAATGGTTTTTTTCCCTGGAATATAGAGTGATGGATTGACCTTTACCTAGGGAATAAATAACTGAATAATTGCTTGGTGAAATACATACATGGAAAGAATAAATCATACTGAAATCTTTGTCAGTGTGCATGGATATAAAGAAGCAGAGACTTGTAAAAATATTAATCTTTCAAATGGTGCCTAATACCTTTTCTCACCTAGCCGAGGTTGAAATTTCATTTATTGCAGGAGTGAATTTGCTGTAGTACAAAGCACACAAATATTTCACTTGAGAGCAACATAGTAAGAAAATAATGGTTTTATTCTAAAATGTGGAGAAAATCAACATTTATGGGGTTTTGACTGCTGCACCTCTGCTATCGGTGACAAAATTCCTATTAATTGCAGTGGTCACTGGACTGGCCCTCCAAAGAATAACTTCCAAGTAGCATGACTATTTTCTTGAAACTAGAAATTTATTCAGCTGCTGCAAGATGTGTAACTAGGAGCAAACTGAAGGAAACATGTCATTAGAAATGCATTTATTGTTTTCTAACTCATTTGTGAACACTATAATATTTCTTTCTTGTGAGAGATTTTTTTAAAGTTGCCATAGAAAACTGTTGTCAGCTAAAAACATAATTTGTAAAGTAAATTAGATCTAGGTGCTTGTAGCCAGAACCAATTTCTGCAAGCTGTAAGACAAGCTACTGTTTTCCTTACTAACTGTTCAAATGGTTTGCTGCCTATCTGTGAGCAGTAACTTCTGATCAGAAAATGACATCTCGAAATGCCATTTTGAGAGTCTCCGTTTAAGTTCAAGTATTAACTCAAAGTGAACTGTGGAATCACTGTTCATATTAGTTAAATATATATTTGTCATTAAGGACGATATTTTAGCAGTTGTAAATAGTGTTAATTTTTTTTTCCATGTCAAAACCAAACAATCTTCTTTTTTGGCACAGTAGTTTCATTCCATGTGGGGCCTGAATTTTATAGTGATTGACTTCCAAGACAACGCATTTGATAAGGGCTGGCAAGAAAGAGCAGAGTCCAATCTCTTTTCCACTCATCTCCATCATAGCAAAGACATTAAAAACACTTGGGTTCCAAAAGGTGAGGTTCAGCTGTCAGACTTAAACACCAAAGTTCACTTAGCTTTAAAACTGAAGGATACCAGCTACTCCGATACAAATTGGGCAGATTTGTGCTTACCAGGATGGTTTCAAATTTTCCCGCTGTTTAGCAGAACCAACTGTCATGGTTCTTTTTGAGGTCTTGTGATATTTCTTACTGTTATTTTTTTGCATAACTGCCATGGATTTTCATCCAGACCTTGCCTTAGCAGACTATGGCATGACCATGTACAGCTGTTCTGAAACCAGGCTGCTCTGCCCTTCGGTACACTCAGGACCTGTTGCGTGCTACAATGTGCAATCACTACATGAACAAATTCAGTTTTGGTTTGTTTTTTCTTTTTGTTAGGCGCCAGTTCATGGGGTTAAAGGGTTACGTGAGAATCTCAGCACTGTGCTTGTAAAAATAAAACAAAATAATCACTGGCTCTGATAGTTTCAGAGAAAAACCTCAAAATATAAGCAAGGAAGACACAAAACTCAGAAGGACAACAATACACAAATATCAGTTTTTGTGGGTTTTGCTTGGGGTCTGACTCATGCTTTTTGTGCTTCGGGGGCAACTAACTGAATTCTCACTGGCATCTGCAGGACAAGGATGGTTTAACTGTGGGGAGCAGGCTTATGGCTGCTCTTCACAGAATCGCAGAATGGTAGGGGTTGGAAGGGACCTCTGGAGATCATCTACTCCAACCCATCTGCTAAAGCAGAGTCACCTACAGCAGGTTGCACAGGACTGTGTTCAGGTGGGTTTTGAATATCTCCAGGGAAGGAGACTCCACAACCTCCCTGGGCAGCCTGTTCCAGGGCTCTGCCACCCTCAAAGTAAGAAAGTTTTTCCTCGTGCCCCTGCTGTGTTTCCTCGTATCTATCTGAGCCAGTGAGTCCATAACTCCATGTCGGTACAATCTGCTCTTGGTCAAGCATAGATGGTAAAACTGTTGTGAGGAAAACAAACTTTGCTCCCATGCTAATCAGGCACCGATTCTGCATGACTCAAACAAACCCTACTCCATTTTTGTTTCTCTTGTAGTTACCTTTAAGCAAGAGGGATGACTCAGGTGCCTGCTGACTACCTGTCAACCACTAGCTCCTACAACTATGAGCAGCCCCTTCCCTCCGTGGCTCGGACAAGCACTGTCACCAAGGTACCCCCTGCTAAAAAAATAACCTTCTTCAAGAGTGGAGATCCTCAGTTTGCGGGAGTCAAGATGGCCATCAACCAGCGAAGCTTCAAGAGCTTCAATGCGCTCATGGATGACCTCTCTCATCGGGTCCCACTGCCATTTGGTGTACGGACCATCACCACCCCACGGGGAATACATTGCATCAGTGAGCTGGATCAGCTGGAGGATGGAGGATGGTACCTTTGCTCTGACAAGAAATATGTCAAGCCTATTAGCGTTACTGCTGGGGGACATAGACCAGGCCCACCGCGAAATGGTCGTCCCTCCAGTACCCTGAGAAGAGCAGCTCAGGAGGCCAAGCTTGAAGATTATTCCACACCTTTCACTCAGCATGGTCCCAGAATACCCAAGAAGATCACTCTAGTTAAAAATGGAGAAAGTGGTTTTCGACGCTCGATTATCTTGAACCGTAGAAATGCCAGGAGTTTCAAAACACTCCTGGATGAGATTTCAGAGATCCTGCAGTTCCCAGTGAAGAAGCTCTACACTGTTGATGGGAAGAAGGCAAGTATCTCTGATACCTGGTGCTGGTCAGTTATTGTAACAGGTGTTATCACATCAGTGTTTGCATTCCCTGTGATGTAAATCCTTTAGCTTATGGGGCCAATAGTTTACCCATATTACCTTAATCCTTTGGGCTTGTGTAGTTAGTGTCACATTAGTTATGTCCCCGTTAATTACATGAAGGGGTGATGTAGAAGAATCTTGTTCAGCCATTCAAGAGCTTCATACATCAGATATTGTTTTGGGTCAATGGGAGTCAACGTCTGATAGAAGTCCAGAAGCTCAGCATTTTGCAGCTGGGTAAAAAACCCTAAATAAACTTCTAGTAATGGAGTTTCCCACCCTCTCCTGGGAGGCATGTCCCAACAAAGGCTTAACTTTTCTGTTCCTAACAACTCGGAATTCAACAGAATAAGACAGCCCTTAGGCAGCACCTTACAGTTGCATACTTCCTGACAGAACAGGGTCCTGCTCATGATGTGGGATCCTCATCATTATGGTAACATAACTAATAAATGCATAATTAAATAGGGTATGAGCGGGATCAGGAGATGCATTTGTATTGATGATTCAGTAAATGTGCCAATTGGGATAGACTCTTATAATAATATATTTAGGGCATGACAAGTCCTTTGTTCTTCTGTTCCCAAAGGAATTCCTGACAAATCTGAGATTCCCCTGATTTCTTCTCAATCTCTTTCTAACGTAGACTAAACTGTGCTTCCATTTCTCCCAAAGAGGTCTCACCTATTAGGCTGACTTGTCCCTAGCGATGCAGCAAAGTGGAGCAGTTACCCTTCCCCTTGCCACTTTTTCCACCTTTACAGCGCTGGGTGCCAACTCCTCAGTGGTACGGTTACAACCGTTTGTGTCACTTTCTGAACCGGATCACTGAAATGACTTGGCTTCAAATGACCACTACCCAGGAGGGGAAAAAAATGGAGGAATAGTTTTAAAGCAAATAATTTTGACCTGGCACAGGGACAGGAGTGTGCAGCTAAGAAGGAGAGAGAGGATAATGATTTCTTAAGCCATCTTTCCTTGTGGAGGCAACATGTCATATCACAGTGCTTTCTGCTATGCCCATCACTCCAGAAAGAGCTTCCTGTTCTCAGCTGAAGAATTCAAGGAACATGTCCTTCCTGAACACCCTACTGCTACAACCCCCCTGATCTAGAAGCTAAGTGTCAGCCTGACTGTGGTCAGAGATGAGATGAAATGCCAGGGAAAGGCTGGTGCCACTCCACATATGCCAGAGAAGTGAAAGTGCAATCTTGCTGTGAAACTGAGGGTCCTGTGTAAACTAAGGATTTATGGAAAGCGACCGAGGAACAAAAGAGGAGACTTAGTTCTGTACAATGTGAGCATGACCTAGGATAAACAAAATTAATCTCAAACTTTACGGTCTAAGACTGAGTCAGTTGTCTAAGTCCAAGATGAGCAAGCTGGCCACCCTTCTGTGGGATTAATCTTTTCTAAGCATGTCTAGAGTCTGTGTTTTCCCTAATGGGAGAGCAGAAAAAAATGGCTCACTTGTAGGCAAGTGCATGGTAAGCAAGACGAATCCCATGGCTGCTTCAGCAGCCCATGGAAAGAAATAGGAGCTTTAGACAGCTACTTTCCAAGTAACTGTCTAAATGACAACGGATATCGGGAGCTGAATTCATTTCAGATTGAGCCACCTGCACGTCAGTGTCTAAACATTTCTGAGGCAAGTGGCTAAGCTCCTGTGTAGCTGTTGAGACTAAGTTGATAGTCCATTGAACTTGAAGCTGGCCAAAGATACGTGTCTAAAGGCCTTCAGAATCAATTAAATTCTCTTTTTCCAGCTTCAGTCAATTTATTTGAAAGGTGAAGCTTACTGTGTACCACAGATACAACCATATTACTAAATTAAAAAATGTTAAAGCAGGATCTCACCCTTCTCTCCTCCATTCTGCTAAATTCTTGTATCTTCCCCGGCCCAGGGAGTCTTGGCCCGGAGTAACAGTTTCCCAACAGTTTAGATTTAGGACCTGGAACCATTCACCGTAGGTGGTTTGGATGTGGCCAGTCTGTGTTTGAGCAGCCAGGCTGCTTCAGTTGACCTCCGTTCTGAAGAACAGTGTCTGTCACTGCTTGCATTATTACTACATATGTAGCCAACTCAAATTATGAAAGGAAAAAAACCAAACCCACCCCTGCTGCCAAGATGTGTTATAATCTATGGATAAGTATCTTATTTTGTCACTGATTTCTCCAGTTTTCAAGACTTGGACTCCTGTTCAGTCCACATGGAAATAATAATCTTTTGTAGTGGTAGCAACTTCCTCTTCACTTCTTCCATTTTTGAGAATTTTAATCCATTTCTCTAAAGAAAAGTTTTGCTTTCTACTTCTTAGTGCAGTCTTCATGTTCTCCTTGTGATTCTTAAACGAGTTTCCTACAGTTTTCCTTCTAGTCATTATGAACACTGAATACACACTCTCTAAACACACCATCTTCATTATTATTCAACCTCCATCTTTCTTTCCGTCTAAAGACAGGCAGTTATCTTTTACATTTTCAGCTCGGCAGTGGTGGTCATCCTGTCTAAAGGTCTCTGTTCTCTCGGAATGGGATCTCATCCCAATGTGCCAAGACATGGCTAGAACGACATGGGTACTAATTGACCAGAAGTGGTCACTGTGGAATGTTTGAAGCTGATGGCACCTACTAAGTTTCACACGCTAACATCTTTGCTGACAGTTTAAGCGGTGAGCTATGCAGGTCTCTTCAGGAGACAATGTTTCGGTAGCTTTGTTGCTTGTTTGGCATCCCCACTCCCAGTGCAGCCTTTGTTTCTGGAAATGTTTCAGCCTAAGTTGCACATGCATATCACGTGAAAATATATTGATGCTCTTTGTTGCAGCTAGATTACCTTCTGTGGCGTGCCACAGAGTTTAAGATTATCCTCTATGTAGTGGTAATGATATTTTCCACAATAAATCCCACGGCTCCCATAGAGACCTCCCCCCCCCCCCATTTTTTTCTCCATGTCTTCCATCTGCAGAAATGTGGGCGTGGATCAAACATCATCACTTAATCTCTCCATGGTCCCTTGGGATTCTTTTCTTTTATATGAAAGTTTTCATTACCATCTTGTCAATAGGCAGTTCATCTTCTGTACCTTATTAATTTAATTAGCACTGCTTTTATTCTTATGTAGAATATTGCAGTGATGGGTGACTATGGGTCCAACCTGATCAATGTTATCAGCTTACACACAGCTAGGAAATTATTAATATCTTTTCTGAGAAAGTTTTTACGGTGATTTTTTTGGCCATTCTTAATTTTAATCATTCTTCTCTTGCTTTTTAACTGTTCATTGCTGCTTGTTCAATGGTCATTCCTGTTAGGACTTCCCGGAGCTGTTACTCTAGTCTTGAGGGCAAAGCATTTAAACCACAAAAAAAGTCACTCTGGCTTGGATTTTCCAAATTTTTCCTTTCATAAGGATTCTCTAAACTACTTTTGCTCTTCTGTCCAAATTTTCTTGTCGTACCTCATCTTCAAGATCTTTGTTCCCTATACACAGTTGATTGTGTCCCAGAGTTTTCACCAGATACTGACAGTTTGAGAAGTGAAAATGGTGAATGTTGCACAATTTGGGGGATTTCTTGAAATAACCTCCTTCAACTGGTGCTGAAGATTAATTTTGACTGTACGTCTTGCCTTTATAATTACGTTTGCATTTTCTGTTAGAGACAATGAAAACAAGGCTCCACTCTTCCATGACTATTCAAAGGCATGTGGATGCTTCATATTTCTTGGGTATTTCCCTGTTTCTCATACTATTCTCTTTGAATAATAATTAAAATTATCTTTTAATAGTTTTATAAACTTCTTTTATCACACGTCTATGTAAATTTTTTTGCAAGCGGCCATTACTTCTGGGAAAGAGGGTTAGGACCGAGGGGAACAGTAACTTTTGACGTTCATTCCCATGATTTGACAGATTAGCTGAATAACAGTAAGATTTGTTCCTAAGCAATGCATCTGGATCACTGCTTGATTGACTTTGTATTTGTCTGGCTTAGAATAACATAATTCACAGCATTTAATAGCAGGTTCACAATGTCTCTGTTGCTGCCAGGTTTTCTTGATCTCTCGAAAACTGAACACAAAAAAGGAAAAATCTGCTCTCCTACAGGTGAATTCTATCTCTTTCATCAATGAAAGTGCTATTTGTAGACTTGAGACTGTTGCCCCTTCAATCTCCTTTTGTTTTCTTCCACTATTATAACTCCAGACGTAAACTGGAATCTTAAGTTAAATCACCTCTACAACATAACGTATGTTTGGCATATACTGTCCCAGGGGCTCTGTTTTAATATCTTTACGATATTGTTGAGTAAATCCAGAACACTTCAAAATTACAAGTCTTTGGCTTCCTATAATACCTTTATGTGGGTATAAACTTAGACACACATGGAATAGACTTGTTGTTCTGTGTTCCTTTTGTGTAGCATTGGTTTGAAAAAGCAGAGAAAAGAGTTTTCTTCCTTATGTAGTCCATGTAGTCCACAAATGTTTCCAGCAAACCTCTAAGTTTAAGTCAATCTTAACTTACAGGGAAATTAACATTTTGGACTGCAAATCTCACTACTTTTGCACATCAGTACATTTTATCCTTCAGACAAATCTTGTACCATTTATTTTTATAGCCCTCATTTTGTCTCTTTTTTTTTTTTTTTTTTTTTTTTTTTTTTTTTTTTCCCAAATTGGCTTTAGTGTAAGGTTTTACCTGAAAAGCAAGAAATGCTAGTGATTTCATGAAGCCGATGAACTCAACATTTTACCTCTTTTTCATGGAATAAAGTCAGGAGAGAAGGTCATGGTCAGCTATGCACAATCCTAATACAAATGAAGTTCACTGCAAGGCCAAAGGCTGTGTTGTAGCATCAAGATCCATTGGAGGCCAGCAGAGCTCTTGCTTTTGTGATCACAGTTATTTTGCTGTTATTTTGCCTTTTTCTTGCTCCCATTTGTCTGCTTGCTTACCTCTCTCATATTTTCAAAATTGTACTTCATGAACTTCCTAGGAAAGGTCATTCTATTCG